GTCCGACGAGACCCAAGACTCCTCGCTGACCAAGTCCGGCCCTTTGAGACACGCGACATTCTTTGGCTAACGATCAACGGCACGACGATAGTCAACTTTTATCGCCAGAATGACGAGAGGGATGCCCTGAACACGCTACTTCGATGGCCTGTCCCGGAGCGCTGCGTGGTTGCTGGCGATTTCAACGCCAGACATCATAGTTGGCAGACGGGCCAAGCTACGAATCGCGGCCAAGAAATTGCAGACTGGACGTCAGAGCACGACCTCAACCTTCTCAATACTCTTGACATACCGACAAATCCGCACGGTAACACAATCGATCTTGCATTCACCAACCTGCCGCTGGCCGAAGCTACCGTCGAGGACCACCTCGCCACTAGCTCCGACCACTTCACGCTCAGCTTGACCTTCCCTGACATCAGATCGACTCCAATGCAGCCGAGCAAGATCCGAGTGACTACAGAAGACGAACTAAAACGATTCGTCGAGATCGTAGAACTTGGGGCTACGGAAATCCCCCTGGCAGACTCGACCCCCGTGGAGCTGGACGAGCTGGCATCCTCACTTGTGAGTCTACTAACATCAGCAGCAAAGGCATCTGGACGACCCGCAAGAAAAGGTGGACGTCCAGCTCCCTGGTGGACGGAGGAGTGCGCTGACGCCGCAGCTACCTTTCGAGTCATCCGAAGGAGCTACCCGCTCGGTTTCAACCAGGATGTCCAGATAGCCAAGAAAGACTTTCACCGTGTGGTCCGTCAGGCCAAGAGGCAGTATTGGCGAAACCTCATCGATAGCTTCTCCAGCAGTAGCGCTGTTTTCAAAGCTGTCCGGTGGCTGAAATCACCAGGAGCTTTCCAGCCTCCACCGCTTCAAGTCGATAATGTTATCTACGAAACCCAGATTGATAAGGCCAATGCACTCCGACAAGCTACACTGGAACGAAGAACTGCAGAGGATGACATCGCAAACGCATGGGCATCAGTCTCTCCCTCTAGATCAGTCCCATTCTCACCCGAAATCTCGCTGGATGAGGCGCAGTGTGCGACCATCCAAACAGGTAATACGTCACCGGGGTCAGATAACATCACAGTCAATCTCCTCAAAGCCGTATGGCACATCATCGGGACGCACATCCGCCGCCTGTTTGAAAGATGCCTCCGTATAGGTCATCATCCTAAACCATTTAAGGAGGCAGAAGTGGTGATGATCGCCAAGCCCGGACGACGTGATCTCACATCGCCTCGAGCCTGGCGGCCCATCTCTCTGCTCTCCTGCCTCGGCAAGGGTTTAGAGCGATTGATCGCGCGCCGCCTAGCGTGGGCTGCCGTTCACTACAGCGTCCTTCATCCACAGCAAGCTGGGGCGCTCCCCAAGAGGTCGGCCACAGACTTGGTAACTGCTCTGGTGCATGATATTGAAGAAGCGTTTGCACGTAAAAAGGTGACCACTCTAGTCACGATGGACATACAAGGTGCCTTTGACACCGTCATGCGCAACAGATTGGTCTTGCGTCTTCGCGAACAAGGCTGGCCTGACCATCTAGCTAGATGGACCGAGTCCTTCATGAGAGACCGATCAGCCTGTATCAGGTTGCAAGACACCGTCACGTCCTCCTCTCCCCTTCAGTGCGGCCTCCCTCAGGGATCGCCGGTATCGCCAATCCTCTTTCTGCTCTACACTGAGCCAATCTACCGACTAAGCAACCCCCAGGGTCGCTTCGGCTACGCAGATGACACGGCCATCCTGACTACAGGCGACACAGTAGACGAGACTACTGCCATGGCCTCCAGCTCCATCGACGAGATGGTGCGCTGGGGCGCAGCAAATGGCGTCTCGTTCGACCCCGAAAAGACCGAAGTCATGCACTTCTCTCGTAGTAAGCTTAGAACGTCGCCGGCAGTACGCCACGGAGACGTTGAGAAATACCCTGAGCCAGCCTTACGCTGGCTCGGCATCTGGCTTGACAGCAGACTATCGTTCCGAGTCCACGTCGAAAAGTGGGCGTCGAAAGCGAAGGCAGTAGCTTATCACCTGCGAGGACTGACCAACACGATACACGGCCCTCTCCCGAGTGCTGTGCGAAGTGCCGTCAGGGCTTGCGTCGAGCCGGTTCTACTTCACGGATCCGAGGCGTGGTACCCGGGCACCACCCGGCCGCGATGGAGTCAGCCTACCAGAGACACACCATCTAGCAACCAGCATCTCATACAGAGAATGAATAAGGCCTTACACCAATCCATGAGAGCTATACTGCCCGTCTGGAAAACGACACCTATCACCATCCTCCATCGGGAAAGCGGGATACCGCCAGTTGATCAGCTTTTAGAGGCACGGCGACTCAGATCCTCCGCACGACTCAAATCGCTTGACGAGGCTCATCCTCTTGCCAAGCGAACAGCGCCACCAACACAACCCACATACCATAACCTCATCAAACGAAGATATCAAACACAGACAGAAAGCGCCTTCAGGACACGTCTTCGACGCACAGACGAGCTGCTTGCGCCCTGCGCGCGGCCAAAACTCGTCCAGCGATGCTTCCATCAAGAACAGATGCCTCCACTCCAGATGGCGCCAAAAGAGAAATCGACTGGCGCCTTCCTCCACTGGATTGAGAGACTCGACCCGCTCACCTTGGTCGTATACTCGGATGGCTCTCTATCCTTGGAAGGAGCTGCAAGCTACGGCTTCACCATTCATCAAAACAATGTCCCCATCTTCGATGGATCAGGTCGCCTTGGGCCTGCCGAGGTCTTCGACGCTGAAGCTACTGGGGCATTAGAGGGCCTCAAAGCTGCCCTGAACCTGCAAGGGTCAGGAGCGCAAACCATTTTTATCTGTCTAGATAACCTCGCGGCCGCCACGTGCCTGCGAGGCACGCCCTCCGACTCCTCTCAAGACGTCTTTCTCGAGTTTCAGGCTCTAGCGGCATCGCACGGAGCCACGCAAGTACTCTGGGTCCCAGGACACTCCGACATCCCTGGCAATGAACAGGCCGACAAACTGGCAAAAGCAGCGTCATCACTCCTCGAACCTGAAGGTGCTCAACCAACGCTGGCTTACCTACGAAGAATCGCGAGACAAAAATCAAAAGAAGCATTCGAGACGTGGTGGTCTACCTCCGCTCCTGAGCAATACAAGAGACTCAACCTCAAGGCGACCACAGGCTGCCCACCAGAGCTGACGCTCCCGCGCGCAGCCTTACACCACTTGCTGGCAGCGAGGTCCCTCCACGGGGACTTCGCCGCGTATCACGAGAGGTTCGACCACGACGATGCGCGCCTGGTCTGCTCATGTGGCCGACGCAAAGCACCGGATCACATCTTCTACTGCAGAAAGGTACCGCCGCGTCATCGGATGAGGCTGGCACCCTCACCGAATGCAGCAGTCAATCTAGCAGTAGGAAAAGACTTTACCAAGTTCACCGACCTATCCAAAGACAGCGCGTTCTTTGGAAAGATTTGCCCTCGCTATTAGGCGATGACGACGAGAGAAGCACTCGCGACTCTCTCTTCGACTTCTCGTTTGTACACCTTTACTTCTTCTTTATCTTCTTACCAGTTCTCGGCCAGATGAAAGGCGCTGACACGCCCCTCATCCGGCCGTGGCTACCTTCAGGCAGTCTCAAACTGCCGCACGCACAGGCTGAGCTCAGCCTTCCTGACTTCAGGCTCCAAAAGCGGCTGCGATATGCCAGCTGCGCCTTGTCGTCCCGCTGACGGGTAACAAGCTCGATAGGATGCGCCATTTGTGCCGATGATATGCTGGATAGAGTGTGTTTGGTCTACTAATGCGGTTGCAAAAATTGGAATCTGAGGGAAGACTAATTTCGCGTCGCGAATGACTAATCATCCTTGCAGCCAATGGTATTTCTGTAATTAGCGTATAGATAGATACCCAATTCTCTAGCTCAGCACGTCCTTTGCCCCAGCAGGGGACTTTCGGGGCCTACGGCCCCCCGGACGAAAAATATACATAACATAACATAACATAACATAGCAACATTTCTTAGAAGATACATCGACCTGTTGCCTACAAGGCGAGGACTTTACCACTTCATACTGTACGGTTAAAGATTTTAGAGTTTTACTTTCTTGAATATGAACTTGTCCTCTTTTACCGACCTTTTCCGGCGTGTTGTCTGGACACGGCGAGATCTCGAACAAGGGTTTCATTAGTCTGAAACCCTCAAGGCAGTCATCGCTTTTCGAAGCACAATGTGGGCGAAAATTGCCGAGGAGAATTCTGCAGTTAGAACAATGCGTATTTAATCGGTTTCTTATTGGCGTTTTCTTTCCTATCCGTAGACAATACTACGAAATGGATGTTGGGACCGTGACGGTAAAAAATGCCCTTCCGTCTCCAAAGGGATAAGCGCTGACTGTATGTGCCATGCGCGCCCATCAATCGGCGGTGCCCGAATCCCGGTACGCTCTATTCGTGTCAAAGCAAAAAGTGCCCCTTCATGTAGATGAAACATTGTGACTCGAAGGACTCTAGGTTGTTGAAACTTCTGACCATTGACAAGATGACTATGATTAAAGAACACCCTACCAGCTAAGAACATGTACAATCGAGTCAACACCACAATCCATCTTTTAAACTTAGTAGAGCAAAACTCTACGGCTCGGTGAACTCGTCATCGTCGCCTTGTGCCCCCTCTTGCGCCAGCGGATCCACACCAGTATTTCACTCCAACGGGATCCTCAAAACTGGATCTTCATATGATGTGTATTCCGCTCATCCATCTCTGCGGACAAAAGCCTCTCACAAGTCCTTGTCCTTGGCCCAACCACCCGCGCTTGGCCTCCAGCCTTTGTGAAGCCAGTCTGGAATCCATGCTGTCACACCCTTGGCATATTCATACATAATGCAGAATATTCAAGATCTCATGAACCAGCTACATATCATATTGTCGGTCTTACCCGAAGATAGGGAGGCACTTTGTGATCGTATGCGGGACCAGAAAATCTAGGGCGCTTATGGGGTGTATTATTCCAAGAGATTGTCACGCATACGCCTACATATTTCGCAGACGGACGGGTATCGTCAATGTGCCATGAAAGAAATGAAGAAACAAAATTAAAAAGGAAAGTGAGGTCGTAATCACAATGCATTGACGGCTTAAAATCGTCTATTTTCGCATTAACCTAGTTTTTGGAACTCTGGAAATGAATGAGCAGATGAACGATGAGCAATGCATCAATCGCATAGATTGTAAGACTACTCCTACTTAATCTATCCCTCTTTACACTATAAATAGAAACGTCCTTCTGTGATTGTCATCTTGGATGACTCATTCTATATCTTCACCACATAGAAGTTGCACAGCCTGGTGAGTAACGAAAATTTATCGCCACGGTATGTTTCCATTTCTATTCTTAATAATTAATCTTCTCGCACCAGTCAGGAGGTCTTGGTTCCTCAGTGTCCCACTGTATGTGGTTCCTATCGTCGAGTTTGCAGCCCTTCCCGGTGTCAAAGATCTCTTGTTTTGAGATGCCTGCATCGCCGTCCGCAGGAACCCAAAGGAATGGAGCCTGGCTTGTGACTGAGGGCGGAAAATAAGCATGTAACTCAGCCTCCTGATGCTGCTCGAGGTTTTTCCGGTCCTCGTGATGCACCAACTGGTCCACCGTCGCGTAATCGGCGTATATCCACAGCTTGAGCCACTTGAAGACGGATTTAGCCTTCTTCCGGCCCTTGCGGGTAGCTCTTAACACAAGCCTGCTGGCCAAGTTGCTCTTGCTAGCACCTGTGGAGGTGGGACCGACGCCATTCTGGGCTTGTCCATCCTCTTCGTTTTGTTGTTGGCTTCGGTCAACTCGATTTTCCTGAAACTGAAGTGAAAGGGGAATGCTGTATAGGAGAGGGTTAAGGGCCTTGGCTAGGGATGTGGCATAGGATAGTAAGTGCGAGAATGACAGCCATCAGAAAAGCAGGCCCCGTGGCTTTAGAAACGATGAACATTCCAACAAGGCATATCTCGGCTAGATACACACCCGATAAGAGCTGTTTCAGGGCCTGAGGGTAGATTAGACCACGGGTGTCGATCTCGGCTTCTGCAACATACAGTACATTGTCACGGTAGGAGAGATAAAACAACCCCGTGCCGATAGTCGACCAGAGTAGCAGAAAAGGGGCAATAACAGAGCAGACAATGCCTAGAAAGAAGTTAGCTAAGGGAGGCTGTCTTAGCTACTTCACTTCTCACTAATGACAGCCATGTTGGTGTAAATGGGCATGAGGCTTACCCATGAAAGGGTACTAAGTGTCGTCCACTTGTAGTACATTGATCGAGGTGTCCTGTTGGCGAATTTAAATGAAAGGGTGCATATGATGAATCCAATAACCTGGGTCAATACGTTGGTGACGATGGTAAGACCTTGAACAATGAAGAACGAAATGTAGAAGTTGGAGGCGGTAGGGATTGAAGATGAAAGAATGCTAAAGACATTGGTGGGGTTCCGAAGGATGGTCACCAGAGACGAAACAAAGCTGTTAGAGAGCGTCTGGACTAAGAAAACTTGGAGGACCTGAAAAACGAAGTATGCCTTCTGAGTGAAGAGCTCAGCTTGCGGCAGTGAAACACAACCAGACATCCTGGCACAGATACGCATGAACGCCGGCACCGATGACATCAGAAGAGATAGCGCAATTGAAGGCAACAAGCCAGAAACGGCCCCAAGAATAACCTGAAGGATGAGTCAGCACAACGAGCAACATGAAGACGTCTGTCCAATCTACCTGAGGAATGTTCTGTATCCAGGCTAGGCCTGGGAGGGTCTTGATGATGTTTACTTGTGCAATGACACCAACAATAGTCACAGGAATAGCCCAAAGCACAATAAGACCAGTAATGGTGGCGTACATAGCAAATCGCCGTATTGCAGCTTGCCCCCAAGAATAGTTAAGGCTCTTCCAGATATCCTCGTTTGGCCTTATGCCGATGAATCGAGGAGCCATTTGGAGGGCGCGGTGGTGAGTGGCGGCTTGAAAAGCAAGCTGCGCATCATATTGGGTGGCGAATTCGACGAAAATAGCAGAGTGTTTCTCGTAGTCACCAGCGATCCAATTAGTCTGAGCGCTCTGGGCCTTGGGGATGAGGACCTTGAGCTGCTCGCGGCCCCATTTGATGGTGTCGACCTTGTTGCCAATAAGTCCGAGAGGGCCTGTACAGTGGGTAGGTCGCTTGTCGTCGGGAATCCAGCCAGCAACGAGGTTTCCAGATCCAGGATCTAATGTGGCGGTGGCCACTTTTTCGACCTTGGCGCCTGTCTTCTTTTCATACTTGATGTGCTCCTTGTTACATAGCTTGATCCACTTGACTTCTCCCTTCTCGAACTTCATAGCGACCTTGACACGCTCTCTTATAAGTCTATCCAGCTCCTTAGTGTCGCCAGGGATCGAAATGTTCTTGGCCGAGCCGTTAAAGAGGCTATAGATGCGGCCCTTATCGAGATACTCTTTGGGCACTGAAGTAAACAGGACAGTGCGGGATGAGATACGCTTAGTGTACTGAGGAGTCAGCAGAAACGCTTGTCGGATGTTTATGTAGAAGAAGCATTCACGCGTAATGGTGTAGATAACGAAGCTATACACGATACAGGCCACAAAGCAGTGGACATATAGTCTGTTCCTCTTGGTTGAATCGTCGATGTTGATATTACTGTAGGAGAAGACATCAAGCTGCTTCTTCCCATTGCCGCCACTAGCGTTGAGCGGAAGAAGAATTGGCCATGTAACGCAAAGAGTCACAAAGCAGATGGTGCAGCAGATGCGAAGGAATCGGATGAAAAGGTATGAATCAAGACTCTGATGCCGGAGGGCATAGGCGTCGGGTAGCCTCCAGAAAGCTCTAATCCAGCTGAAGAACCCATCGGGTAGCTGGGGACTGCGCTCACTGGGAGACGGTTAGAAATAATGTTCAAGATTCTGATGTTGTCCTGAAACCTACGGTTCGCACAGAGTGCCTAGGCACGACCTAGGCGAATAGAAACGCCTGTTTGACTTACGGAGGACGAGGAAGACAATGATGTAGATCATTGAGGTAGCAAGCACGGGCGCCAGAGTAGAAGATATAGCTAATACATACCCAACAGGGACATAGGCTCTGCACTAGCTGCTACACCTTGATTAGGGTCTGAGAGGCTGTTCTCTAGGAAGCTGATGAGGCTTTCCATCCTATCATCCCAATGGACATTTCCAGATTCCACGTGGAAACTTTAAATCTGTACGGAAGGCTAAGGTTTTGCTACTTATTACTAGGGCGGAGCCTTGATTCCAGGATACTATTATAGAATAGGCTTAGGGCAAGTGTAATCAATTTTAGAAAATGTGAAGAGAGATAGGTAAAGGATTCATGCTCTGGGGATTAATGGGTCTATGTAGCTTACGAAATGGGATTTCTTGTAATTCTATACTGTATACCCTTATCGTTCCCCTTGTACAGCGGTTAATTTACGTCTATGAAATTTACTCTTGCCAATATTTCAGTACATACAACTTTCAAGCTGTACTCTGAGAAGGAAGCTGCGGTTATGTTGTTTTTTTCTATTTGTAACTGCGTTCAGTATGTGCCAAACTAGGGGCCTTCAGCCGTAATAACCTATGCGTTTATCAAAAGCTCGAAGCTCAGGATCGGCGGCGGTGAATCTTTTAAGAATACAGCACTGCATCTCGTTGTCCTCTTTCTGTAATGCACTGGTTGGTGGAGGTTGAACTGACGTTATCTGAGTGAAGGCTGCAAGCCGAACTTTCGACCTTGGTTGTATGATTGCCTTGTAATGTGTAATCGTTGAAGATCCTTAGGTTAGTCTTGACTGGATAATAGATAGACGGTGATACGTACAGCGAAGTCAACTCTCCCTCCAAGATTTCAATCTGGTTATGCCATAGAGCGCCATAGAACATCCGACCCGATCCAAAGCTAACGCTTTGTTTTTAAGAATGTCGTAAGAACGTGGTCTTAGGTGACCTCCAGTTCCTCGCAAATAATCTGGATACCACCCCTTTGGCTTGCCTGTATACTCTATTTTCAAAATCGATATTATCGGTATTGCCGACCCAATCAAATATTTCTTTCATGACTTGGTCTTAACACTTAGAGTTATCAGGTGGCGACCGACTTTGTCCTGCAGTCTCTGTACCACTCTACCATTCAGTTGGGTGGGGAGGATGCAGCGACCGCCCAGTCTGCCATTTCAATGCCACAAAACATGCGAGACACGACGGACTCGCAAGAATCTCTGAGATACATAGGCATTCAGAAAGTCCTAAAATCCCTTTTCTTACGGAGTCTATCCTCACGCAATTTTATCTCGACTTTTCCAACTAGCAGCCGTTTGTCTAGACTATGTCGTCCCCTTACCGCACAGATCGCAGGCTTGCTTATTCGTAAATGAGCAAACCCATTCTGCTTTAACAGCTTGCTAAGCATATACGTGATTGAAATATTTAATGGCTTGATAGATCACCATTCCATTCGGTAGGTAGGATATTGGCTGATAACCAATATTACATAAGGTTCACGAACGACTTGCCAAAGATACTCTAAATATCAGATATTAGCGTTGACATGAAGCCATAGGCTCAAGTCCGCAATTTTCTAGGAGTAGTAAAACGGATGACCGGAATGAGTCTTCTTACACCTGTGGCGAGTCATTGTCAGAAGCAGCATTATAGAATATTAGTCAATGGCCAGCAAGAAGTTATTCACGCACTCCTATCTCGTCTTACTCTGTTCTATTAAAGGATACTTATATACAAGGAACAAGTTGCGATATATAATACACGCATCACTGCCTTATCAGAACCCTGAAACGAAACACCTATATTAGTGTTCGTTTATTACGCTACTGATCGCTAGCGGTAAGAGATACTATAAAAGCCATGTAACTATCATTGAACTTTGCTGATATTATATAAGTTCCTCAAAGAGTGATAAATCATTGGGAATCACCTTATTTTTCTCGCTTACCCTACTGAACAAGAAGTAGGTCATCCTGGTAGTTAAGAAGTCGTACAAGACCAATGGACAGCCGTCTCTTAGGGAGCTACACAGGCCTTGCGCCATATAAGTGCTTGATTCTCATGGGTTACCGCAAGGTACGAGAAAGATTGAATCAATTGCGGCGCATATAAGCTGCCACACTGTTCTTGATCCATTATATCGTATCCGACCCACACGACCGAGATAGGATCGCATTCAGTAACAGCATGATCTTCCTGTAAGCCGGTCGGATGTTGTGTCGTGCCACTCAAATCCTCTTACGTGGAGACCTTGTACCTTGAAAAGAACGATAGCATGATGCTTAGAGTGAGAACTGCAGTAACTGGTATGATGTAGCTGCTCTCATAACAATTTATCCAGTATATAACAAAAGAATTCGTCGACGTAGCAAGCACTTTTGAAGATTAGCTTATTGAACCATTCAAAATTTTATAGCAACCTTAAAGTGTCCTTTGTAACCATAATCAACCTGGGTGGGATAGAGACGTTATAAACTTCTTCCTTGCGACCACACGTTCTAATAGTTCTACTACTTCTATTGCCTTTCCGTTGGTTTTGTAAACTAACACGACTGCGAGGACCTATTGCTCCATGTGCGGCTTGAACACGCCGATGTGGTTGATTCTGGCTCGGTCCTCGCTTGGTCAGTTACACACGGGCCGTCGGGGCTGTAACAGTTGGCGCTTACCAAGAACAACCGATGAAAAGGACAGCAGCGCCAGAGATAAAGCATGAAGGAAATCCCTCTCTACCCATCTTGCATTTTCACTTACTTTCGAATTCTGGCATTCCTATCTTACCTTACATTATCATCAGGTTCACCAGCAAATGGAATTCAACCTCCGATTTCGAGTTCCGCCCCCACAGACGCCTGAGGTTCACAAAACGAAACAAATGGAACCCATCAGCGACACCGCATCCAAAGCCGCATGCCCGGTTCTTCTCTCGCTGGATCAGATGCCGAAATGGTTTCAACATGAATCCAACGAGTGGATTCTATACGGCTATAGAGACATCTCAGGCTCGTTTCAAGCTTCGTTGTACAGTTTGTTGTATATCCACAATGAGTCGGTCAACATCTATTCCCACCTCATTCCGGCCGTTTTCTCCTTGCTCGGCCAGCAGTACCTTGCCAGCAGATACTCCGGGGTCACTGGCGCCGATTTCACTCCTTTTTCCATCTTCATGTTGACAGCCGTCACGTGCCTGTCGTTGTCAGCGACATATCACACCTTGATGAACCATTCCAAACGTGTGGAACATTTATGCCTGCGATTGGACATGCTGGGTGTAGTGATCTTTATACTGGGTGACCTTATGTTGGGGATATATATGGCTTTCTGGTGTGAGCCTTTGCTACGCAATATCTACTGGTCTATGGTTAGTTGATCTCCATGTGCAAACTTTTATTTTCCCTCATCTCAGGCCTTATACTTGAGTCTAATGCCCGTCTTTTCTTGTTCGATAGATTGGAGCTTTCGGGACGTTAACCATATTCGTCATATTGCATCCCAAGTTCCAAGGCCCAGAATATCGCCTCTTCCGAACATTGATGTTTGTGGCGACTGGCTTGTCCGGTGTTGTGCCCTTGATCCATGCAATCAATATGTTCGGCATGTCGCAGATGATGAGTAAAGCTTTTCCTTATACTCTAGTAAAAGTAGGCTGCCTTCTAGTAGGGACTTGGTTTTACGTAGTAAGTCTCCCACTTGCACAGACAAGAGAGATAACGGCCCTAACAGAAGCGGTTCTGAAGACCAGGTTCCCTGAAAGTCTATGTCCTGGAAAGTTTGACCTAGGCGGTTCCCATTCGATCTTTCACATCCTGGTGGTATGCGCCTTCGTGGTCCAGTTGGTAGGGTATCTGGATGCTTTCGACTATGCTAACACAAACCTTACTTGCTCGTCTCTTTGAGGTATGTGCATGCGGAGTATGGACCTTGTAGCCACAAGCATCGAATTTCAACCACTTGTTGTACAATAGTGAAGAGCTATGGGAGTAGTTCCAAGTCACAAGAATTAAATTTAAGATTCTAATACAGATAATAAAGAAGACAGTTTATTTTCCCTTGCTTTGTTTTCTTTTTTTTACTTTTCATTTTTGTAAATTGTCATTTCCCCGGGGCTAAGCTTCTACCAAAGCTTCCACGATAACCACGTTAGTAAAGGGAAGCATTCGATCTGATCGCTGCTAGCCATGACTAGCCTCTGTCACAACAGCCTGTGTCGAACTGCGTCATCCGCCAAAGGACTTGAAATATGTTCCACTACTGTAGGCTCCTTCGAGTATTTTGACCTCGAGCTTGACGCAGAGATCTGTTTATTGGATGTTCTGTCTTGTTTTCCACATTGTCATGGAGACCCAGAAGTGCAACCCACCTTTCCCGCTCGCCAGTAGGTTTCTCTCTAAACAGGATAGGCGCTTTTCTGGAGCCATAAAGGCCAAATACCGCGCTGTGTGCCTTGAACTGATGAAGTTCTGCTGTAGCAGCTCTCTGTGATGAAGGGAGTTGCAACGACAACAGCCCTACTGCTGTCCCATAGTCACATGGTAACTTCGTGTATTAGCTTATATGTAGGAATGTTTTGTTTTATCTATGTCCGGTACACCTATGCAATGACCGAGTGCACTTGTATAAGGTGTATTTCTGTCTAACAAGTGCGTGTATGTACCCAAACGCCCCATCATCTTTCAAGCAGAAGACAATGTTATCGCACAGACGAAAATGCCCATGCACTATACAGTACTCAAGGTATCTTAGTATTTTCTTTTTATTTTTGAACAGCTGGTTTAGGCATCTCAGCCATTTTAATCAGACTGGAAGCCTTGTGATCCTGAGGTCTGATTCCGGGCATTTTCGAAACAGTACTGAAGTGTCCATTTCTGGACGTTGTAAGGAAGACTAGCAGCTGGAGGTAATAAGGAATGGATTGATGGCAATTTGCTGTGAAGTTACATTATGCTGTTTGAACATGCACGTAAGCTGCTAGCAGGGCGTACAGGACTACTGTGATAATAGGTTTGGACTACTTTGTAAGTCATACACCCCGTCAATAACGCCCGAGCGGTGTGAATCAGTGACTGCCAAGAAGAGACAATCGACTTCGATCTCTATAACCAAAAATTTACATTCAGGGAGATCCCTGGGATATGTACGGTACAGTATTCGAGAATATGCGAACAAACACCATCCTTATGAGTTGGCGATATACATAGGATGAGAAAAGAGAATGCAATCTATATAGCCGACTACTACTATGCGTCACACACTGCACAACCTAAATTTTGAAGAGGAGGCCTTTGGCCTATCCGGATATGTTGGAACTAGTGTCGAGTAAGACTTGCAGAAAGAACATAGCGCCCGTCCTTTTTTGTTAATTCACTATCACTTTAATTCAGTATTCTACATTATGATACTACAGTATTGAGCACTGGTAGCTTCCTCTCCAGAACAATAAGCTCTATGTTTAGTCTTGGGTGGGTACCTTGAAGTACATCGAGCTACATCATAAGCAAATGAAGCGGCGAAAATAGACTTCTTAGCTGTGGGTAAGCATGTTTTGACCCAATAAAAGAAGTACTTCAAAGTAGCTTAAGTACCTAAGTGCTGGGGTGCAAGTCTGGGGCGAGTGGAGCCTAAATCAACAGTGCGAGTCACCGACCACGTTACCTTCAGTAAGCCATTTCAGTCCTCCGTACGTTGATGTATACAGTCCGCGGGAATGTGGAATGGACACTGTGTGGAGACAGACTAAAATATCTAAGCTTGTTCTAGAAGAGGAAGCTCTCAGTGCTCAATACTGTAGTAGTTATTATATCCCGGTGCATTGGCCAATGTACAAGAAAACTTTAATAGAAGTACGTCTGATCTGGCTAAGATAAGAGTCTTATAGCGCTCTGTTTGCCAGGCGAACTTGCATTAAAAAACACACCGAGGGGGAAATTTAATCACCAAAGGCCACAGCCATAGAATATATCACATCCGACAGTCACTATCTGGAATATTAGGAAGAAGACTGGAAACTTGTGCACATTGGTGTTCAATTGCCATTGCGTGCCTTATTGTGATTAGTATAAAATCAACAGGGTTAAGCTCTAGAACACTAAATGGCAAGTAGATCAGTAATTCCTGTCGCCCTGTAAAACCTCCCAGCAAGCCATCCAACCAAGCGAACTCTAATTCCTTTCTAAATCAAGGGGAATAAGTATAGTAAAGTAGCCTAGCATGATACCTTGAAATTATTGAACCTGATAGTGAATGCCACTGTGGCTGGAGTCAATACTAAGACACTGTAAAGCCTTTGACCTTCGAAGCCTTGGCCTTCTTTGATATGATATGGGCAGAGAGCATATCCTTCTTGGCTGGTGATACTGCACCGAGGTCGTCTTCAGGTCCTACACTCTGGGGTGTATAGAAACTTCAAATGTTCGCCCAATTCAAGACTTCTGAACATAGCCAATTTATGTTGTGGGGGAAGGTAAAAGTGTTTGAACACATGTCAGGTTGTGGCGGCAAAATCCACCTTTAGGTACAAGATTTTGTCATAATTGCTGTGATCGATCTATTTTCAGAGAGGATACTGGGCCTCTAATATGTTCTAGGGCCATGCGGTAGTTCTGACATGACTTAACAATAGCTATTGTGCGCGCTATATATACGTCCATGGTCACGAGGAAGGAAGATGCCTATTTTAAGGTCCTTTTGCGACAGCCAATATTGCCATATATTGAGCCTGTTCCGCGTAGTAAACAGTCACTCTACACTCTTGGACTCCTTTGGATCATTAATATCTCTCAGCATGAGGATGACAAGAGCTGCCACACGGAGCCCTAACGTACAGCCTCTGAAAGATTATCGTATTGTGGTGACCAAGAACGCTCGTGAGAGGCTCGTCAAGGGTTTCATAGTCATGTATGGAGGGTCTTATAGAGACAAAGTCGATAAAAACACCACTCACATTATCAGTAGTCAACCAAGTCCGTCTGAGAAAAACGAGATCCGCAAAGCCCAGGATAATGGCCCTCAGATTGTTGATCCAGATTTTCTTCTCAAAATCATCTCTGATAATAGAGCCAACCTATATAAAAAGGCTCGTCACTGTTCTCCTGTTGCTAGGGCCCACGGGACAGTTGAGGGTCTAGACAATAGAAGTGATGATATTATGGAGGGTAAGCATGTAAGATTCAACGTTGAATCGTCACCGCCTAACAACAGGGTTGGAGGAAAGGCCCCTAAGTCCAACACCAAAGCAGAGCCCAATGCGGAAGACGACGGCAAGAAAGATTTTGAGAATACACCTGAAGAATACTCCCTTTATATTCCTCAGGGTTCGGAGCGTGCCTACGAGGCAAAATTAAAGAAATCATCCTACTTTTACGATATTAAAGTCGTAAAGAACTCTCGTGCCTCGAAATTCCAAACACTGACCAGTTTTGGTCGCAATGGGAAAATATGGGTAGAAAGATCCCTTGGTGATGGATCAGTGGATGACGCTGTAAGCAAGTTCCGGGATACGTTCAAAGACAAGACAGGTCTAGACTGGGAAAATCGCAACGATGATGCCCAACATGGCAAATATGCTTTTGGCAATGGTAGAGAGCCTGTTCAGGAATTGATGCAACTCATTTTCAATGAGAAAGGCTTCAACATGGCTAAGAACGCCTTAGGTTATAAATATAGCCCAGCGCTGACCTCAATTCAAGTATCAAGTCAAGTATTTCAAGTAAGTCAAGTAAGTCGACGAACCAGTTTATTTCAAGTAAGCAAGTTCATAATGCTTCAAACTTGATTTACTTGAAATACTAGATTTTATGGATTTTCCTATGCGACAGCCCTATGAGTTTCAAGGCTATTCGGAGTCCCAGGCATAGGGTAATTAATTGAGTATAGTACCCCAGTTGATTACACTAATAGAACCCAGGAACGCGGCAGGGGTGGCGCGACTACATGTTTTGCATTTGCTTACGTGCTAGAAACACCTGGTTTAGAATTAACGTCGCTCCCTAATAAGAAGCATCTGTATTCCGCGATTCGCCGATAACCCGCTATAGCAGCATAATAACAGTCATTAGAATCGCTTCTGGGAATTAGTGGCTATTGCAAATCACTTAAGCAGCAGCTTGATGCTGCGTCCATTAAGACTAAAGCTGGAAGAACGACCCTCGCTGACCTCCTAACTATCTAGATTAGCTGTAAGAAATATATACCAGAAGAATACATTGCCAATAAGAATCGCAAAGGTCGGAGGAGCTGGATCTAAGCCTATGGCTTCTTTCTTACAGAAGTCAGCCCTGATTTGCGGATGTTGCAGACCTACTGGGTATGCTTAAAATGTAATGAATAAGGCAAGAGCTCATTATTCGTTGCCATAAATACAATATCGCCAATTGAGCACCTCCGAAGGTAAATGATATCTATATGAGCCTGATCTTTATTACTTCTCCATTATCTTATGAGATATAGGTCTTATATAATCACCGAGGCGGATGACAATGTGGATGCAGATTCGTATTCATCTTGCGCTGATATTTACCTACCCTCGAAGCGGCGTTGCTTAGAGTCTCCTACTGCAAGATCAAATATCAATAAAGCGAAGAAGTTAATAGTCGGCTAGATTATTACTACCAATCTTCCATTTATGGCGCCATTGAATCTATACTTATACTAAATGCTCGATTTACATAATACATTATTAGTAAAAGAGGTACCATGGAGTTAGCAGTCAGTGCGTGATATTATGCGGAAATTATTTAAGGTAAAAAAGGGAGTAATATTAAGTTAATTGCAGAAGGCGGTTATAAGGATTAGCTTTAGCTTTAACCTATGGACTTCTCTAAACCGGTATGCTTTCCTTGGCCTCCACGCCTACTATCTCGACGCCTCCTATCAAGTCCAGTCGCGACTCCTTGCTCTGCGCTGTATATAGGGATCTTATTCCGGAGATAACCAAGCAGCGATAATATATGATATCTTGGGCGAGTATGGGATATAAGATAGGACTAGCGCGGGTATCTGCGATAACGCCTCGTCTAATGATACATGCTTGGCGAGCCTCTATTGTTAACTTTATCCTGCAATGGCAGAAGAAGATATTAGAAATCATTAAACAAGATGCTTTAGGCATATTCTTAACCTTGCAGCTTAAGCCTTTCTCTAGGGAGAAGATCCTGACTCATTTAAGCGAGAAGCCTTCACCGAGGCGGCTTTCCAAGTTAAAGAGCATAAGCTTCGGCTCTGGCAGAAACAGGGAGCGGTAGGCAAGCTGTATAACATCATCCAGTTCGTCAAGGCTTCCCTGCAACAGAGAGAGCTAATAAAATCCCTGGCTTATAACCAGAACGACGAAGACGGCTATTAACTCTTTAAAGAGGAGCAAGCTGCCATTAACCTTAAGCTAATGCAAAATAATGAAACCAGATAGAATTTAACCTTTCTGATAATCCAGCGTGCCATTCGAAAGCGAGAGCATATTGACCATTTTATTGTATATCTCGAAACAAAGACGTCAGAGCCCCGACAGCAGGTGCCTATCCAAGATCAGCTTTCACCATAGGACTGGCTTCTATTAGCAGAGATATAGAGTCTACTTAAACCGCTCCATAAGATCACTATAAGGTGCCAGGGTTAGGCCAAAGAAGGATGCTACGGCGCCTTGTGGGAAGTAATGATTAGAATAGAGTACTTGCTTAATTTCTTTGAGGAATAAAACCTGATATTCTTGTTACCTGATAGTGGTATTAGTAAGCTGAGAAATTTCAGGGTCTCGGCAACTAAAAGTATGACTCCCCTAATTTGTCTTTGTTCTCTTCAGGCTTCTTTGACTAATGGTTTCTTAGGATCTAGTACTTAATGAATTAAGCAGGGCTGCGGATAAGAGAAATACTTGCTATAGCATGCTTAAGAGGAATACACTGATGTAGTTTTGCAAGATAAGAATCTTAATAATAATCACCGATAATGCATCTAGATCTCTATTAAGAACTGTTGGTCAAAGCTTGATAAGTATTATAGCCTACTAGGCCAATTGCCACTTTATCTGGCTGCTGTTATTCTTTACCCATGCTGGAACGTGTCTTGGCTTAAGGCGAACTAGACTAGCGATGAGTAACTAGTGTGGCTATGAGATACTAAAAACAGTGTCCAGGAATTCTTTGAACAGCACTATCCATGTGAGGAGCAGCCTGAGATATCGAGGACGGTGATAGGAAAAGCAGTGCGATAAGACGAGCCTAGTCAATTTAACCAGTAGATGCAGAGCTGCGATTAGTGTATAATAGAGGAAGAAGACGAGCTTGGCGTTTATATAAGGCAAGGGCCAGTGCGGCGAGAGAACTTGAACCCTGTCCTATGGTGGAAGGATTATTAAGAAGAATACCCACGTCTAAGCAAGTTTGCCCTCGATATCCTGGCAATTCCTGCCATATCTATTGACCCTAAGCGGACGTTTAGTGTCACTAAGTTAACGGTAAGCTCGCAAAGGCACAGCATAAGCCCCGAGATAATAGAGGAGATGCAGTATCTACGAAACTGGCTACGCCATCAAGCGATCACTATGGGTAAGGTGGTTAGCTTTGGTGGGGACTTGGTGGGTTGGGAGGGAGGGGAGGCTTAATAGCTTTATTAGAGCTTCAGGTCAGCACCTTCATTTCAAGTATATCAATTCAATTCAAGTTAAGTAAGTCCATGGACGATTTTATTTCAAGTAATCAAGTTTGACCCCCAAACTTGACTTACTTGAATTAAAGTCAGCGCTGGGCATCAGGACAAGGTAGCCGCTAAAGGGTTCCAGATTTCTTGTTTTTTTCTAAACTAGGGAAGGAAATACAAGGCACCACCGAATGGCAGAGGAATCACTCTGTCAGTCTTGCTCGTGATATTAGCTATCAACTACCATGACTTGGCGTGCGAGAAATGCTTCATTGTTTTCGGTCTTCCCATCCAATTCCTCCAAGTATAAAGATATACTCTCTAGTATTAAATTGACCTTATAAGTCTAGCCGGAACATGCTGGCGCAGGTGTCTGTCTGGCTTACATGATTAGCCGGAAGACGGTTGTAGAGGTGAGGCAATGAAGCAACGTCGTCAACAACTAGGACAATATGAAAGTATTAAGCACCGAACCGCTCCCAAACTCAGGCATTTGACCAGTATTGACGCTATCCTTGCTGTGTAACTTTATAAAGCTCGACCTGGGCACTTTCGTCTCTCAGGTCAAGACCACTTAGGGTAAGTAAACAAGTCAAAACTTTGTCGTAAAATCATCAAGCTCTTGAACATTTACTTGTTGCGCCACCTATAAATAAATAACTGCTAAGCCATATTCGACTTGCTATCTGCCTTACTCTTTTCGTTGAGATTTCTTGTCCATTTAAATATACTGGCGTGTGTATGAGAGCAGTATCTGCGAGTATCGTGTCCCTATTTGGTGACATTGTGGTTCAACGGCATGTGGCGCTCCCTATGTCATAGTCGATCTGGTTAGTCCAGTCGAGAAATCTGCTATCTCAATTACATTAGGCATCATTAGTTTTTAGGCAAGGCACGCTCGCGATTTAAAGTATATTTCCCTTCCCCTCGATTGCTTTCTCGGCTGCCTGAGGCTTCGACCGGGCTCGTCGCTTCTTACTTCGCTTCTCCTGCTCAATAACAGGAACTGCAGCAGCGATGAACTCAACGCCACGGTTGCGGCTGTTGAGTTGTGCGTGCAACTTGCGGTGGTTGTTGAGGTTATCTTGGCGGTTGAATTGGTCCTTTCCACAGAACTCTCCACAGAACTCGCAAGAGAAACGGCCAGGTCCTTCACCGTGGTAACTGCCTAATGTTAGTGATCATGTCCGATTTTCATCACTTGCGGTGAAACTCACGTTTGCTTGTGACGCCTGAGGTGCTCGTTTCGTCGGAAGTTCTTGTGGCAACCGGGGTAGTCACACTTGCACATGGCTCTTCGAACCACATCAGCTTGTCCAGGGTGGGGAATCTATCTACCAATGTAGACGAAATGTAGATGTAGATAGATGTAGATCTACATCTATCTATCTATCAGGGGGCCATGTGGGTCATCTATCTATCTATCTTACCGTCGGATATGTAGGCGAAATGTAGATAGACGCCAAGATGAAGACGGAAAGTAGAGGGACCTTTTTTGGTGCGCAATTCCCTTCCAAAGCAAGGTACCGGTACCCTCACCTTACTACCTAACAACACCCCCTGTCAGATCATTTCCCTTCCACTTTTTCCTCAAGCTCATCGCAAATTTTGGTCAATCTCTTGATACAGCTCCCCCTTTTCAAATGTCAAGTGGTATACCATACAGTCGACTCACAGTATAGAGCATTTGCCACAATGCCAACTCCAAGCGACTTGTCCAGCCAATCGGTAACTGATGCAAATAATTGCTCAGAGTTATCCAGCCAGCCAGATCTACCAAAACTAGATTCATCGTCGTCCCTCAGCACCTCAATTGCCGTCAAAGACTGGAGTACAGTTTCTCAAACCGTCCGTGGCCATTGGAATCTCTCAACTCGAACTGGACAAGCCACTGGATGGTTTTGGGCTCATGGTTACAATGTTCAAGCCAAAACTGCCACCACCGAACGGGGCCCATCCAGTTGGCTTTGCTGCCATTGTACCCAACAGAAAGTCCACAAACCAAAAGCCTATGTCGCGTCGAATACCCGGAACATTGAAAATCACCTCAGCAAAGCACACAGTGTCTTCCATCCAGATCCATTAAAAGCAAAGCGCTACGTATTGGAGAGGCCTTTAAATCAATGTAACCTCCATGAGTTTACCTCCAGGAAGCGGAAAAGGGATGACCTTCACGATGAGCTGGTTGCTCGATTTGACAAAGCAACATTCCAGCGCCTGCTTGTTCGGTGGATTACGGACGCAAATCTGTCTTGTCGCCTCTCAGAGCACGTGGGGCTCCATGAACTCTTTGACTATCTCAATCCGTTGGTGCGTGAGACTTCAGCCAACCTTACTCACAAAACAATTCGGGCCAAGGTTATTCATGAGTTCAACACTTACAAAGCCCATGTTACTGATACTTTGCTACGGAGCCCTAGCAAGGTCCACATTGCATTCGATGGCTGGACCTCTCGGAACAGACATTCTTTCTTTTCCATCAATGCTTTCTTTCTCGACGACGAAACTTTCCAGCCTCGAAAAATCCTGCTAGGCCTCCCAAACGTCGCCATGGCCCATACCGGCGAAAACATCTGCGCAGCGGTCACGGAGGTACTGGAAGAATTCGAGCTTGTACAACACAATAAACTTGGATATTTTGTTCTTGACAATGCTTCGAACAACGATAAGGCTGTGGAGGAATTAGGGCGCAAGTTCGAGTGGCATGAGCCTGCAGCCAGGAGGATTCGCTGCTTTGGACATGTCCTTCACCTTGTCGCTACGGCTATGCTTTTCGTCCACGATACCCAAGCTCTCGAAGACCTTGATCCGGATGACTTTGACGAGTGGACAAAGAGAGGGCCGGTTGGAAAATTACACAACCTTGTCGTCTGGATCAATCGATCGAACAAGGCAACAGTCATCCTGCGCAGACTACAAGATGATGACCCTGACAAGAACTACCCCGGCACGCTTGATGTCGTTCTTGACAACTGCACACGCTGGCTATCGCAATATTACATGATTGAACGTGCAATTAAGCTCCGTCGCTACCTTGAAGAACTTGTGGATATCACGATTCAATCGAACAGGAAGTTGGCCCGATCTCGATCCAAAGTCGAAAAATCGCGAAGCTCGCTTCCTTCATGTCTTGAGGAGGACAATCTCCTTACTGATGCAGATTGGGAAGCTCTGAATTGGTTCAGCAGCATTCTCGCCATGTTCAATTCTTGCCTTTTGAGGCTTGAAGGTGATTGTCAAGTTCGGCTTCGAAAAGGAGGTGCGGAAGCACAGTACGGTATGGTTTGGCAGGTCGCCATTGCATACGAGTTCCTCTTATCAACATTAGAGAGGGCTAAGACAGAGTCGGCGGATCGGCCAGAGTCCAGCTACCTTTCTGCCTGCATCAACTCTGCGTGGGCCAAACTGAATAAATATTACACCAAGCTTGACGAAACACCGATTTATTACGCAGCTACTGTTCTTCATCCTGGAATACAATGGGCGTTCTTGACAAGGGCGTACAGCGGAAGGGAGGGTTGGATTGACAAGGCTCGACATCTCATCCAAACGCTTTGGGAGGAAGAGTATAGGGATCTTCCCGCCCAGTGGGAGATCGCTGACAGCAATCTTCTTGTAGCCGTGAGGGCACGGGAGTACAGTCCCTTTGACTCATTCCAAGACGAGCTTATGTCGTATCCGAACTCCGAAGAAGAATCGGTCGCCGATGAGTTCGAAAGGTGGCAATCTACAAAGCAGGACACATTTTCAAAGCACGATAATCCGCTCGAATACTGGTCTGCCAAGCGGTTTGAGTATCCTCGTGTAGCGAAAATGGCGATTGACGTTTTATCAGTCCCTGCAATGGCTGCCGAATGTGAGAGAGCATTTTCCTCCGCTGGTAGTATGGTCTCTCCCCAGCGGACTCGTTTGGACGCGAGCACAATTGCAGTTACCCAAACAGTTAGGTCATGGCTGAAGGCAGGACTTCTAGAAGGATATGACGGGCTGCTGAAGGAGACGAGTGGCGAAGTGGCCGGGGTAGTTACTTAGTGGCTAGTGCATATCGTATTTAGAGTGGTAGATAGAAGCATCTATCTATATCTACATGTAGCCTACCTCTATCTATCTACATTCCGTTTTATGACTAAGCATCTACATCTATCTACCTTGGGTGTCAGTAGATAGATGTAGATAGATTCCCCACCCTGTTGAAGAGACATACCGAACGGAAGTTGAAAGAGAATAATTGGAGACGTGCCACATCTCGCGGGAGGTGCGGGACGGCTTGCTATAAAGAGAGGGGTTCCAATATGTTTGGTAAGGGAACTTTGATCGGGTATTCAGAGCATGTGACAAATGTCACGTCGGGGGAGTAAACGTGAACCTTGTTCTCACTATCAAGCAGGTGATTGGTGACTGTGACACAGGGTCGACCTGCAGAGCGATAGCCGACGTTACTGCCGTTCCAAATCAAGAGGGTGCTGTGGTTGCAGTCCGAGGTGGGAAAAACTCCCAAAGCGTTGTTGGGCAAGGATTCAGGGGTTATTTGAGTTTGAGTCTGAACGCGTCCTCCCGTAGTCCGGCTGGAGAGAGAGACGGATAGTTCGGGTGTCCGGGACGGAGCAATGAACTGAGGTAAATGCGCGGACATTAGCATTAAGACCCTGGGGGTTAAGTGGCCTGCGATCTCTTGCATTATGATAGAACCATGGTGATAAGAAAGCGAGTAAACATAGGCCATCATGGAAACCGAGAGCCTGTCCGATCTGTTCCGTCGCCTGGATGCGCGGAATCGCGAGAATGTGGCACTCGCCGGCTTGGGGATCCGCACATCGGCAGATATCTTCGAGGCCATACAGAACCAGTACGAGCACTCTAGTGGCCAGAGAATTGCGGCATGTGGAGGGACGGTCGATAGTCCGGCACTGGCAAATCTGGGCATTCGGACGTCGACTGACATTCTAGAGGCGTTGAACGGGGAGAACGGCCGAGAAAGTGGTGACGTGAGCTCACAGCGACGTCATCGTCCTCATCAGACGTCGGGGACCGTGTCATCGGGTCAAAGCCAGATTGTTGGCGGCGCCAAAGATACAGTAGGGAACGGGTCTCAAGAGCAGTCGAGGCATGGGAATGAACTGAAGAGGTCCGGCCCTCGCGGCAACGACGGTCAGCTGCCACGCAAACGTACCAGAACTGTAGGGCGCCAGGAGCGGAGCCAATCTGAGGAGGCGGATGACCTTGCCGACGTGCTGCGTGTGTTGGAGGAAGAGTTCGCAGAAAAGGAGCGGCTATCTGATGACCAGACATGGTGTATGCCTGTGAGCCACGAGAGAAAGGTGAAGACGGTCGAGGAGTTCTATAAAGCGTTCCACGACGTGAGAACGCTGCCGGTCCTCACCTGTATGTTCTGTTATCGTAAGCATAGCAGAGCTGAGTTGCAGTATGTTGACTGGGACTGGTGGGTGGCAAATGCCATCGAAAAGCGCGACGGCTCACCTTTCAAGTGCGTTCAGTGTTTCCCTGTAGGACAGAAGATTCTCGGGTGCGCAGACTGCGTGAGACACCTGGGGAGAGGTGCGTTATCGGCAGCAGCGCGGCTGCACACGCAGTTGGGATGCGAGCACATGTTTCCTGACGAGCTGAAGGATCTCACGCCGGTCGAGGAGAAGCTGATTGCGCTGAACTCGTGCTACGGCTTCATCACCAAGCACAGCGTCTCAGATGGACACAGACAAGGCGCGACCTACCCGAGACATGTGAAGGGACATATCACGGTATTCCCAAACAATGTGCAGGAGCTAGCAACGAATGTCCTCCCACATCCGCTCTTGAAGGTCATGGATGATGTCCATATATCATGGCAGGGGCAGGAGAAACCAGCGCCGAGTGACCTGTCAACGTTACTATCGGTGCGACGTAACGCCGTTGAGAAGGCATTGCTGTGGCTCAAAAGGTACAATCCGTTGTATGCCGACATCGAAATTGACGAGGCGGAATTGGATAGTTGGGATGCGCCGTCACACGGAGTGCCTTCCCAAGTTTTTGATCGACTGGAACGGAATGAGCCTTCGGCGAGGGGGAAGATGCAGACGGCGCACATTGTCCCACCCACAGAGCGCGATATCGACGATCATGAACCGGTAGATATCCAAGAGATCATGGCATCGTTAGCCGAGGGCCTAAGCACATCAGGAGAACCAGAAGTTGATGGCTTCACCTCTGGTGAGGATGGTGACGATTGGGTCGGTAATAACAGAGATCGAGTGGACGAAACAGAATCATCCGGCATGTTCAACTTGGACGGGCGTCCAGATATCCCAGATGCGGAGAAGCTACGGTATCTCGTCAAGTCCATGGGTGAGGTGGGACCCGGGGAGCATACACACGGAAGTACCTGGAAAGGGTCAGCCAAGGTGAGGCACGGGGGCGCCGTCGAGCCTTACATCGTAGTTTCCCGTGGTGAAGTCTTTGCAGATTCCTTTGACACCTGGTTTCTAGCCAAAACATTTCCCAGCTTGTTCCCGCTGGGCAAAGGCGGTCCCCGGCAGGCCGAAGAGCACTCCAAGGATGCGACAGGGCAAGTGCATCCTATTTTCGAGCTGGAAGCCGCTGCGCAACACCTCGTATCGTCCCGGAACATGAGCTTGGAGGCTTGGGTGAAAATGGTGATCCAGCGACACGGCGGCCGCTTTGCAACGCATCCTGTCTTTCCCTTTCTCGTTTTCAATATAGGGGTGCGGTCTAGAAACCGCCGCGTGAGCATGGCAAGCATGCGGAGGAGTGATTTCCCGGAGGTAGAACGTACCATCCAAGACTTGACCGCGTCAAGGCTTGAGAAGGCGAGGGGAGAGCTAGAGGCTTGCGGTAAGACTGCCGATCCAGACGTCAACCGGCTGCTGAGGAACCTGTCACTTTACGGCTACCGTCAGCCGATGTCAAGGGAGAGCCGGCTGACGATGCGGCGGAAGATCAAATCCCTCATAATTCGGTACGGCATCCCCGCCATCTGGTTCACGCTCAACCCAAACGATATCACGAACCCGATAAAGCTCAAGCTGGCTGCATACCGTACCCGCGAGACAGGCAGAGCCGAGGAATATCTAAGAAGTCTTGATCAGGCGTACAAGAGGGCTCGACTCGCGATATCGGATCCCCTCAGCTCGGCAATCTTCTTCCATCGGGAGATCTCCATGTTCTTCCAGTACTACGTGATGGTTGGGAAGGATTCGGTATTCGGGCGGGTCAGCCAGTACTATGGGGCAGTAGAGACCAATGAAAGGGGCGCGCTCCACCTCCACGGCCTCCTCTGGCTGCAGGGTAATATGTATCTGAGTTCCCTTCTCAGCGACGTTCAAGGAGAGGAGCAAGCGGCATATCGGCAGCGAGTGACCGAGTATGTTGACAGTGTCTTTATGGAGGTTCGTTTATGCCACACCCGGAGCTGGCATGTTGGTGGATAAACGCTCACATGTCTGACAGGATCTCGATGAGGAGTCTTTCGCGAGAGTGCGAGCAGGGAGATCGGTGACGTCTGACGTGTCGTCACTATTGGAGAGAGCATTCCAATTTCCCCCGACTTTCGAAGAAGAAGCGAACTTCTGCGCAGGTGCCACACAAATTCACACGCATAGCCCTACATGCGTCAAGTACGCGATCGGGAGACGCGGAACGAAGCAGAATCCTTGCCGATTCGGGGCGCCTTGGAAACCAGTGGAGAAGACTTACTTTGACGAAGACGGGCTATTGCGGCTTCGACGCAGCCACAGCCTGGTGAACCGATGGAACAAGGTAATGGCAGTGGGGCTGCGACACAACCACGATATATCCTTCATTGTGACAAAATGTAAGGGTCTGGCGCTCGTTTACTACGTGACCAACTACGCCACCAAAGTGGAGGATCCGGTGTGGAAGCGTGTGGTGGCAACCAAAGAACTAATTCGGCTCCTGGGCGATGATGGTACTGGGGATCAGTCGAGCAACGGGCGAGGTCGAACCGAGGGCGACAACCGTCACAGTCAAGCGCGCCGATTTCTGCTGCGAATGGCCAACAGAATCTTCACGGAACGGGCGTTGTCGCAGGTCGAGGTGTTGGCCCATTTTCAGGGATACGAGACAGAACTTACAAACAGCACCGCCTGGACGTTTCTGAACGTCTGCACTCTCTACTGGCACATCTTCCGGCGATGGCCCCTCCTGCGCCGTGCGGCCGGCGAGGGCGAGCTGGACGAGTCGATCGGGGAGACGGTGCTGCTGGGAAAAGCCGGACAGAGGATCTCGCTGTTGCAAGCTTACCCGTACCGCGGTCAGCGACTGGAAGGGTTAGCTCTTTACGACTATATGTCGGTCGTCAAATTGAAGCGGAAGGGGGGATGCGTCCGCTCGGGTGAAGTGGAACTAGACAGGGCCTGGCCATTGTCGGCATCGTGGATCCAGACACTGCGGCATCCAAACCAGCTTGCGGCGGTCTGCTTAGATGGCTATTTAGGCATGGATTTTACTGAGGAGGATGATTCCTACTACAGGAGGTACGTCCACCCCGACCGACAAACTGCAATGGTGCGACTCTTCGGGCCAAGCGTATATCCGAAACTTGTATGAGACGCCAACACAGAGCGCTGACAATTGTCATGACCGGTTTTAGAGCAGCAGTACAACACCTTGGCCTCTTCATTCCTTGGCATGCTTTCCTGTGCGAGTCATCTGGCGAGATAAACAGGATTTGGGAGACAAAGAAGACATGCCTCTCCAAGCGCATGACGCGGCTAGCGGACAACATCCAGTTGCTGCGGCGTTCGGCCGAGGACGTGGCGCGGGATGCCAGGCAGTGGGCGGCATTGTCCGGCGAAGGAGATCCCACTGCCGACGCAGTCGGATCAGGCAGTACAGAAGGGCACGACGCACAGGGCGTAGAGCACCGGCCTGGTGGTGTCGGTTTGGCGACCCGCCTGATAGACGTGCTAAGGAATGCGATGACGAGAAAAGAGATCACAGCCGGCTCAAAAGAGATCTCTTCTATGGTTGAGCAAATGTACCGCTTCCAAGCGACTGCCCTCGACTCCACCGACGACCTTCGCGCTACGGTCATCCCTGATCATGATGCGCACATCCTAGGAGGTTCAATCTCGCGGGCAGAGATCCCCCGGCAGGAGCAGCTGAGATCCATCAAGTCGCAGCAAAACGGTCTCTCCCGCGAACAGGAGAAGATGATCCAGGGACTGCAGAATCAGTTGGGCGGCACAGCAGCCGCCGACGGAGTCGCGGCGCACAGCGGGTCCGACAGGCTCGGCCAGCAAGACGATCCTACCACGCATGCCGATCAAAGGGGCCCATCTCGGGATACGGGTCCATCGACGGGCGTTATGTTCGGCGCATCCACATCCTTTTGCGAGACCGGAAGGTAAGTGGCCGAGTCCTTCACACTGAACCAAAGACAAAGCATAGCGTTGCAGTTGATATGTCGCCAACTTGACCGGATGCGGCACGACGACAACGAAACCCCCCAACTCTGCCAATTCATTGGAGGTGAGGGAGGCACCGGCAAGTCTCGCGTCATTGCTGCCATCGCGGAATTGTTCGTTCGCACGGGACAATCCCATCGCCTGCTATTGACGGCGACGTCCGGCACAGCGGCCGCGAACATCAATGGAATCACTATCCATTCCGCTTGCAGATTCTCTAAAGACACAGTCGCGAGAGTAGGCCGCGCCGGTGACCCAGACGGCTTCGCATCGTCTGGCTCGGCAGCTCTCCGCATCGACGGGCAGACCAAGATGGACTGGCAGGAGAAACAGGTCTTGATCATAGACGAAGTCAGCATGCTGGGCGCTCGGACGCTGCACGCCGTCAACGAACAGCTCTGCAGATTGAGAGAGTCTGCTCGAGACTTCGGTGGGATTCCGATAGTCATCTTTTGCGGCGACTTCCATCAGTTCCGTCCCGTGCAGGAGCGATCGATCCTCCTCCCCAGCGCCTCTACTACCTGGGAAGGAGATAATGGCTTCGGCATAGAACAGAGGCGGCAACATGACACGGCTCTCACGCCCTGTGGAGGAAGTTCACCGCAGTGGTGCTGCTAGATGAGCAAGTCCGTGCCGCGCAAGATCCGCGACTACGTGGGCTCCTGACACGCATTCGGAAAGGGGTACAAGACCAGTCGGACGTAGAGTACCTAAACAGCCACTGTTATCAAGAAGGCAGACGGATCCCGTGGGAGTCAGGCATCACAGTGGTGACGCCGCTCAATAGAAACCGCTGGAACCTGAACATCGAAGCAACGCTTGCCTTTCGCAAGCAATGGCAGCGGCAGGTCCGGATATTCGTCTCCGAGCATAGATGGAAGGACAATGAGCCGACGGAGGAAGAAGCCATCATGATGTTGGGTCAGGGCGACGACAGCACCATTCCCGGTGCCCGCCATCTTCATGTTCGTACCTGGCATGCCCGTCGTCGTAAACAAAAACACCCATCAAGGTCTGAAACTGGTGAACGGCGCCAGTTATACGGCCCAGCACGTTATTCTCGACAAGGCTCACCCGGGCCACCAGATCGACGCCGATACCGTGCTCCATTTTGGCCCGCCGGCGGGGATACTGTTGGGGTCAGAGACGACGAGAGACTTCCGCTTCATTGGTATGCCCCCCGGTACGATCCTCCTGACGCCTACGAGTGTCAAGATAGAGTGCCAAAGGAAACGGCCATGGCAGCAAGTCGATGTCTCACGCAGAGGGCTGCCATGTGCGCCAGCGTTTGCATGTACGGACTACAAGGTGCAGGGAAGAACGTTAGATCTGGTGGCGCTGGAAGCTGCGAGGGACCAGGACCACCAACATTGATGGCCAGGCGGTCCCGAGCCAATGCGACCCTTATAGCCTGTACGTACAGCTGTCGCGGTGCAGAACGCTGGACGGCATCATGCTTCTGTCTAGGGCGCGAGAGCATGACTTGATAGGGAACACGGTACCGGCGGAGATGGCCCAGGCTGAACTGAGGCTGGAGCAGCTGAGCGAGGAGACACTCAAGGGCGCGGAATCCCGGGACTGGCTAGAATAGATTTGAATAGATTTGAAACTAATTCGATTCGAAGGAAGAAGGCAGAGATAAAGCAGGGAAACTGAAAATATAGGAAGGGAAATGCGATTTTGGTTCGCCAGGTTTGACGGGTCCGGCAAACACAGCCGATGCCTTGCGGATTAGTATTGACCCGCTGTTTCCCCACTTCGCTAACGTCAACGATGTTGGCCAGCTAAGAAAAACGCGATTTGGTGTGGCACGAACTTTACACGACGTCACGTTCAAAAGCACGTGAGATTTGTGCTTGGGTTTTTTTTGGAGCCCCGCTTCTTCGCCCATCCTCTAAGAGCCTTTCGTTCCTCAAGGCATTGGGTTCTTGGTAATAAATACAATATGAGTCATGTTCATATTGGGTAATACAATATGCGCCCCTTGACAATACAATAATATTGCGAAGGGGTCCATATTGGCAATATCATATTGTTTATATTATTAGCAATACTGGCTGTTGCTGCCCTCACGATTCACACGCGTTTCCAGAACCGGAGCCCACCGACACTTACCCGTGCAGTCGCAAGGCAGAGCGCGGATCCCGCGACTACCGCGCCGGAGAATATCTTCATCTTGTCGTAATTGCCGTTTGTGATAAGAGAAGATCCAATTGGGAGGCCCGCCAGGGTCGAGAAGGCAATCAATCCGTAGCACACGCCGCCCCTTAGGCCTAGCTCCCTTGGATCGGAGACAGCCCCGATCAGAACGGGCAACAGGCCGATGAGAGCATTCGAGCTCCATCCAAAGAGAACCGCGAAGGCGATGAGGGATGGAGTCGTCGACGCCGGGATCCAGAGTGCGAGAGTGAGGATACTTGTGACGGCCATCGCGATCGCCGCAAGGTTGAAGAAGCCGACCTTGTTCCCGATGATGCCGGGCGTGAGACGGCCGGCCAATGCTCCGGCGTTGTAGATGCTGACCATGTACTGGGCCAAGCTGACGTCCAGCCCGCGATTCGTGGCGTTCTCGGCCATGTACGTCACCGGGAGAAAGGCCCCCAGAGAAAACATAAATACGGAGAGCGTTAGGAGCACGAAAGAAGGCTGAAGCATGCGCCTGGCTAGCGCCCGCGTGATCGGCCTCTTGGCTGGTTTGTAAGGAAGCCGCACCGCGTAGATGGCGAATATCATCAGGCCCAAGACGAGAAACGCACAGGTTCTCATGGCCCATGCGAAGCCCACCTTGGGCAGGAGCTGGTTGACGATGACGGGGAAGACGATGCCGCGGCCGAGGAGAGGGCAACGGCTAGGCCACGCCGGCGGCTAAACCAGAGGTTCACCACGACCGCAGCGGGATTGAAGATAAAGCCGGTGCCGATAGCGCTGCAGATGCCCTGCGACAGGAGGATCTGGTAGAACTCGGTGCTCAGCGATGCCATCATGAGACCGAACACGTGAAGGCCCGTGCCGATACAGAGGGGCAGCGTTGGGCCGTAGCTATCGAGCAGGTTGCCCGCGAAGGGCCCGGCGACGAGAAGGAAGAAATTCTCGGTCGTGGCGATCCAGACAACCGTGGAAGGCGAATAGTTGCGGAGGGGGACACGCTGATAATACTCCTGGAAGACGCCTACGGCACTGCATCAAGTCTCTTTAGTCGGGCCGTTATCCAGCAAAAGTGCCGTGCCACCTACTTGATCCATCCGAAAGTAGAGAAATAGCCAGCTGCCGAGCCGGCCACGCATAGCCAAGCCTGCATGCCGCCATCGGGGGGCACGGCGGATCCGGGAGGTTGCGAGATTGTCTCGATCGCAGTGGGTGGAGATTCCGTGCCGCTGAGGTTCTGTGATCCGTTCACGGTGCTCTCAGGACTCTTCCCCCTGGTGGCGTTCTGAAATGCAGCCATCGCAGAGTTGACCTTGACCGCGTATCATATGCTAGTGGAAGGGGCCTGAGTCGACCTATTATTCTATGTGCAGCAGCCTTGAAATAAAGTGCTAATATCTCTCGCTCGTAACGAAGGTTATATGCTGCGTATCCCAAGGGGAATCCATTATAAAAGACCCAATAAATAACGTTCAATAAGAGAGCATTTTTTGCCAGATACTCGGAAAACCAGTACAGTAATCGAAAGGCAAAAAGTGAACCAGTAAGGTTTTCTCGCTCGTAACTCCGCCTAAGTCCGTTCCGATGTTCTCGAGTCAGTGCTGTGCAGAGCATCGTTCCATCTTCTCCATCTCAAACTACAGTACATCATTATTCCAGCTACAGATTTAAGTGAAAGAGGATTTTTGCGCGTCTTGATTGGACCATTACCCCTGTTTTCCTCTTTCACTTGAAAAGAGGGTACGTAATGAAACTCACGCGGCTCCACTTTTCGGTGACGCGGCGGGCGCTTAGCCGTCTGATTGGTGTTCAACTTCTAACCCTGTACGATTCTCACAGAGTTTGATGCAATGGCCGACGCGAACAGCGCGTTGAAGCCACGCATTCAGGAGACGTGTAGAACTCACAGAGGGCACAGCTCTCGGAAATCTTCAGCCTCTAAAGATATCACTGAGTGACACAGGAACAAAAGTTGCGCCATAAATACCTGTCGCAGGCCGGGCATGGTCACAACGAGCCTCAGGAACAACAACCCTTAGTAATCAAGCTGGGTGATTTAAAGTAAAACCTGTGGGATGGAATCAGCGCTGCCCACAAATCAAACAAATCAAATCCACGATCATATTTGAGATATTTGACAGTCTCCAGTGCTGGATTTGTTGTTTGAAATATTTGATCAAATACTTCAAATATTTCAAATCTCGGCATCTGTGCTCTCCATATTACTATGTCCAACATCCCACTGGAGTTCATCCCTCCCGCCCGTTATCGCCCCTAGCTTCACCGCGCCATGCCTGACCCAGTTTTTGAGGCATTGCAACTTCTCTAACGTTTCCGTCGTCATTGAGAGTCTCTGCGACGTCAACGTCAGCTTGGCCAGGCTGAATGACCTCTCACAATCAGTCGCCATCGCCGGTATCGCAAGTATATCGAGAGCCAGCTGGCTAACCATGGGAAACTGGCCCTGCCGACCCATCCACCATTCAATTGGATCCTCGATTTCTTGTGGCTCCAGCCGCAGATATCGCTCCAGCTCGCTACCCATCACCGTAGTCTTCGCCGTCCTGCTTTTGACCCATTGCCTGAACACGCTACCTTCAGATGTCTTTCGTGGTACGACGGGGGACGTCGCTGTCTCCACAATCGCCTTCTGCTGCTCATCCACTGGCCGGCTGCAGCGGTACCAGCGGTCGAGGTAGTCAGACAGCCCAATCTTGGCATCCCTCACCCACACAAGTTGCTCCTCTGACGCCCAATTCACCTCCAGATAACTCATGCCGAGCGACGG